ATTCATAGTCAGACTGATCAGCTGATCAGATGGAGAGTACGAAATCGAGATCTGTTTCATCTTTGATGAAAAGTTTCAATACGAGTGGAATGTAATTCAGTTATTGACAAATTACTTCTTCTAATTCAGTATCCGTTCCATAATCAACACGGACACACGCACACACTGAATGTAAACAAACACATTTACAAGTTATTCTAAGTAGAAATGAACTCCGGAAATTAATTTGGTTGTTTTTTGTTTGTTTGATAGAAATTCTTATCTTATTCATGTCTTCTCTCCCTTTGCTTCATCATCCAATTAGATTATTCCCCATTATCCACATATTGTTCACTCACTCACTGATTGAGATTGTTACCTCATTGAATTCTCAAAACGATTTGTTTGAATGCAACAATTAAAACAATGAATGAATGAATGAAATAAACAACAGATACGACGGATACCATACACAAATAGACCAATATACAGTTTCATGTTATGGTAACATTCAATTGAGACATAACAGAACACTTGTTATTTGGTGTATACACTATGTGATCGACTAGGATAGAATACATTTTCACGGAAGGTGAAAACACACACACACCTACAGAGAGAGAGAGAGTGAGTGAGGGAAAGTGAGTAGGAGAATAATTGAGACTGTTTCACTGATTTGAATTCCGCTTTCCTGTTTCCAGTCTGTAAAACAACAAAAAAAGGATACTATTCTGAATAACAACCACAACCACCACCACCACATGGATAATAACAACTAATTGAATGGTCGAATTATAAAGTAGACGAACTATCAACAAGGAGATGGAGTAAACGACGACAGTTATGTAGAATAGACTGACAGGTGGTTTACACGAAATCTATTCAATGTTTTCCAGTTATATCTATCTACTAGAAATGTGTTTGTATGTGTGTTGGTGTATGTGTGAGTGTGGATTCGAATAGATTAACTCTTGGTTAACTAAACATTTCCTGTTAGTTAAAAACAGTAAAGAGAACTGTGTACATTCAATTGAGAGAAAGAAAAAGAAGAAATAAATCAACAAGGAAACACAATTGACAAAACATTCATCTACAATCAGTTATACATCGATTGAGATAAACTGTGATGGATGGATAGATGGGTATTTGGTTAAATCGGAACCAACGACATAATTCATTTGATGGATTGATAGACGGATAATGCACATTATCTATATCAGATGAGCAAAAGTTATAATAATCATAACACCAATGTGGAATGCTGAGATGCCTCCTCCTCCTCCTCCTCCTCCACATTTACTTTGGTACAATTCTTATTGATGAATACGATGTTGATTACTTTCATTGGTGGTTGATGTTTTGTTTACAATTGGTTGATCGGTTGGTAATGACCAATATCGAATGCGTTAAATACTCCTTAGTTCACATCGAATTCTATCGATGAAGTTGGGATGTGGCCACTAGTCTATGTGGCTGTGGTCATCGTATGCATCATGTTGATATGAGATGGTGGTTGGATGTTTCGTGCTATTTAGCACTTGTTAGTTAGGTGTACCTGTAATCTTGACGGAACTGATGCTCTGTAGCTTATTCAATCCTATGTCACCTAACTTCACAGTTAGAGACGTTAATTAAAACGACATTGTAAAGTGTGTTGAAATGCTGGGAATAATTCTCCTTCCATAGATAATTTTCATGGAGATTAATGTAATATTGATAATAATAATAATATACATCTTCCTACGAACTAATTCTTTCTTCCTGTACTATATCCTTATATTCAATCGTTCTTTTATATATTAGCACCACTGAATAAACTACTTTTATGAATCCAGTGTTCATTTTGTTGTGTGAATGAGGTATGGCAACTTGGACTGATGCATATATGTGCCTGATCCTACACGTTGTAGCTGACTGACTTACATCTCTCAATAAGGAATTGATTATTGATTGAATAATTAGTTTGTTCAGATCAATCTATTCTTGATTTACAACGATATCATTATGCAGATATACTCTAACATTCTATTGAAGTCCATTGATTCACTAAATATTTAGTACGGTAGACATAGTCTGTTACTTATTAACCAAACATTGTTTCCAATTCATCATAGAGTTGCTTCTCAAATTATAATTCCTTTTGAATACAATAATGATCTGATATCTAATGTGAAGAAAGCTACGGTAATGATGATAGAATTTATAAACAAGCCGAATTTCAAGTTTTTATAGATTGACTATTCACTACATTATTCGAGTTTAAATGATTTAATTGTTCAATCTGGTTGGCGTTATTTTAGCAAGATTTTTGTTCTACAGGATGGATTTGCCAACCCCTTGCCCAACCCTCTTCCTTTACCATGGGTTGGGACCGGCAGTAACTCTAGAAGTGCTACAGAGCTACAAACCAGCTTCCATCTAAATAGAATATTAGGAAAAGACGATGGAAATGGATTGGACATACATTTCGAAAATCATTAAATGGCCATCATGAGGCAAACCCTAACTTGAAATCCTGAAGGGAAGCGGAAAAGAGGTAGGTCAAAGATGTCATTACGTTGGAAATTGTAAGCAGATATGAAAAGAATGAATAACAACTGGAACAAGCTGGAAAGGATTGCCCATGACAAGGTTAGATAGAAAGTGATGGTGGGCGGCCTATGCTCGTCTACGAGGAGTAACAGGAGTAAGGAAGTAAGTACACCATTCTTTAAAACGACATTCGAATAATCCAATTTATCTCACTAATGGATACATGATTATGATTTACTTATGTAATAAATCTTCTTTAATCATTCTGAACATTATTTCAATGGGTTTGATACTTTATAATTATATAAACTATTTGAAGGGGGGGGGAAATAATTCAGTACCGACCAACAGTTTCTACTATCAATTTAGCTATCTATGTGTCCATAGATAATGTTCATAGATATTGGTGTATTATTATTAATAATAATATACTTTATTGAATTTATATGATAATTAAAAGTATTCGAACGGATGCACTAATTAAGAATTCCCGAAACAGTTCAATTTAAATTTGATACTACTAGATGACCACAAATGAACCTAATCAATGGAGAGGGGCAATCGAGCACAAAACACAAATACTACAATTTGTCATCAGAAATTCAGAAGGATTTACACATAATCCACTCTACACATGTTTGTAGATATTGTGAAGGAGTTAAAGTTGGATATCAAATTGGAGCTTGAGATTATTGATCTGAACAATCGATATGATTCAAGTGAATATGTTCGTGAAGGAAGTAAAGATTTGAGCGATTGAATAATCTTTGCGAATATTGAATGGGAACTATGTTTTAATAACTGTTGAAGAGTTGTATGTATTAGTTGTCGTCATATTGAGTTAGTAATAAACTATACGTTCCTATTAGAATAATCTCATTCACTTGCAATTCATAATTGTGGTAGGTTGGACCGAAACTCAATCATAACTATTTATCAAGATAAAACAACTCAACAATCATTGTCACACATCCATCAAGACAATCAGCTCGACGTACACTTTAATTACATACTCCAGTTATGGAATCCAATGTAACAATACACTTGACAATCTGTACATTTAACCAGTTCACTATCCCCAACAGTAATATCATTAGACCATCTATTTTGAAAGGAAAATAGACTGGAGCTTAAAGTCTAGTATATTAAACTTCTACTTCTCAAATACATACTATATGGTACAATACATTACCCGATGTGATATAGTATACTACTAGAATACTTAACAATGACTTTTTAACAAACTTTCAATTCCTAGACATCTCTTACACTTGAGTTTCAAAGAAAAGTTACACTGAACAAAGTGTTTCTAAATTTTTCTACAAAAAAGGTCATCAGGTAAATGACATGTTAGGCGGCCAAACTAAGACGTGACATCAGTCAACGAAGTCACTAACTTCTTATCTGAGCCATGTTGGTAGATGCAGACTACTTGGTTCGGGGTTCGCGTGATTATCGTAACCAATGGTTGGAGATTCTTGATGACATAGCTCAGAATCGATCACAATGGCGTCGGTGTATACACTCTTTATCTTCTTTTAAACTATGTGTTGGGATATTCAGAAAAATATCCTGTTAAGTCTAATGCTATCCTTGGACTTGAAATGGAATCATTTTCGTATTGGTCAATTTTTATTTCACGTGTCCTTTCCCTGCTGGTCAATATTTATTTCACGCGTCATTTTCCTGTTGGCCAAATATTATTTTCTACTTTATGGTTTGTCTGGTTGATATATAAATCGAGTATGTTTGAAATAAATGATTCATATCGCAAAGGCTGAGATTGGTGTTCTGGACTTAACTGGCTAGGCTATGCGGGAAGCAGAACCAATCAGAACTCTAGGCTGCTCATACGGGTTTACGCGTCATTGATCCGATCGATAAGTCACTGCTCTCTAATCGGCGGTCACAAGTCATAACACTATGAGATTAAAATCGCTTCATATCTTTTTTATACGAACTAATTCTTTCTACCCGTACTATATCCTTATATGCAATCTTTCTTTTATAGATTACTACCATTGAAGTAACTACTCCTATGAATCCGGTGTTGATCTTGTTGTGCTAATGCGGTATGGCAACTTGGACCGATGCATATATGTGCCTGGTCCTACGATGTAGCTGACTGAAACGACTTATTACAAAGAGATAACAATAAACACTGTAACTGAATACGATCATATTTGATAAGTGAATTTTAGCATCACTGTTTATCTTAACAACCGACGGATATATATATTTTTTGTCGATGAAAACAAATTACAAAAAAAGGATAACAATAATAGTAAAAATAATAATCATCATCAAAGTTAAATGAAGAAATCCCTGAATGTGCAAAGAAAAGTGAAATACGGGGTTACGTAATAATAATACGAATACATTGATTTGAAGACAAATGGAGTAGTGTGAAAGCGCATGAGAATTAGATTATTGAAGAAGAAGAAGAATAGGCGGGAAAATTCAAACCATTTAAAAAATGGAATTAGTTTTCAATTGTTTATGTTGGAAAAATTGTCTGCGAGAGAAAGATTGTAACGACCTTCTAATATGGCTACCGTTGAATTGAATGCACTAGAAAGGGAAAAAAAACAATCGTCAAAGTGAAAAAAATACTACAAAATTATGTTATCATAGTAATAAGACGCATGATATCGCACTTATGCCTGTTACATCTAGTCGAGGAGCATACACTACTCTCTGAATTTTACAACCTACTCGGTACTTGCAAGTCCTTTCCACTTCTAACCACATACCATAAATTATTTTGCTGTCTGCTTCCAAATCTCTACGCAATTTGTTCCTCGGTCTTCCACTTTTACTCTTCCCTTCAGGATCCCAAGTTAGCGCTTGCATCGTGATGCAGTTTGATGATTTCCGTAATGTATGACCTATCCACTTCCAACCTCTTTTCCGAATTTCCTCTTCAATTGGGAGCTGATTTGTTCTCTCCCACAATAGGCTGATGTTGATGGTGTCCGGTCAACGGATATTGAGTATCTTGCGTAGACAACTGCTTATAAATACTTGTACGTTTTTGATAATGGCTCTAGTAATTGTCCAAGTTTCAGCTTCATACAGCAGAACTAACCGTCTTAATGTTCATATTGAAGATTGTGAATTTGATATTAGTTGACAATTGTTTTGAGTTGCATATATTCCTCAAGTGTAAGAATGCGGTCCTTACTTTGTCAATCCTTGCATTGACACCTGCATCAGATCCTCCTTATTCATCGATGATACTGCTGACCAGGTAGCTGAAAGTTTCAACCTCTTCCAGAGCTCCTCCACCAAGTGTGATTGGGTTGGTGTTCTCCATGTTATATTCGAGGATCTTGCTTTTATCATTGTGTATACTGAGGCCTACTAATGCAGAGACTGCTGCTACACTGACTGTCTTTATCTGCATTTGTTGGTTTGTATGGGATAGAAGGGCCATGTCATCTACCAAGTACAAATCTTCTAATTGATTCCAACCTGTTTATTGTATTCCGTGCTTTCCCTAAGGTTTGGAGGCCTTCATAATCCAGACAACCACCAGAGGAAAGAGGAAGGAGGAGAGTAGACAGCCGTGTCTGACAGTGGTCCTCACTTGGAATGCATCTCTCAGCTGTCCTCCACTCACGAAATTGCAGTCGTATGAAATCCGGATGATGTTGACGATTTTCTCAGGCACACCATAGTGTTAAAGAGGGTTACTTAAGGTTCTCTTATCCACACTGTCAAATGCTTTCTCATAGTCAATGAAGTTGATGTGCAGTGACGAGTTCCATTCAACTGATTGTTCAACGATCATATGTAGTGTCGCAATTCGGTCTGTACACGACCGATCCTTACAAAATCCAACCTGTCGATCTCGAAGTTGAGCGTATACTCTATCTTTCATCCGGTTTACCAGAACTCTGTTGAAAACGTTTCCTGTTACTGATAATAGTGTGATGCCTTTGTACTTCTCACACTTGCTCAAATCTCTTTTCTTCGATATCTAGCTTCCCCATACGTCGGTACTCATTCTTTCTTCTAAATATTTCTGAATAGAACGTGGAGCATGTTTGCAGTTACTTCAATGTTTGACTTCAGTGCTTCATCTGGTATGTTGTCAGGTGCTGCTGCTTTCCCAATCTCAATTTGTCTGATGGCCATCCTGATGGTGGTGGTGACATATAAAGGAAGGTCTGTAGGGCTGCTTCAATGTTCTGTGGAGCTGTTCTGTTCACGAGTTCCTCGAAATGTTTTACCTATCTGTTTCTCTGTTTTTGAATATCAGTCATTGTCTCGTGTTCTTTGCTCTTGAGTGGTTTCTTCATTGTCATATAGTTACTTCATATTTCCTTCTCTTGCAACTTTTTCCACTAACATTGCTAGATATTGGAAAGCATATGACTACTGTGTCATTCCTACCATTTAAATAATTCAAAACCTTTTTCGTAGGAAAGTGTAACTTTCAGCATATATTCGACTTTTCATATCTGTACTGTTATTACCGAGATTTGTTGACAAAACATAAACGATTTAAGGTGGGATCCATATTTTCTCTAGATGATCAACATTTCAATCGTATTGAAATCTGACACACTAATATGGGACACCGATAATGTTGTTCAAAATGATAATGAAAGATTCCAGAATGAAAACCAAACAGCCCAAATTATTACTAATAATAATACTACTACTGATGTTTGCAACATCAGTAGTATGTAAAAAAATATGTATATTTTTTACCTGCCATTTCGTACTACAGAATAAACAGACTTGTCACAGTTGCACAAGTCAATAATGGTTGAACCGGCCCGGCTACAATCGGAGCTTTTTGAGGACATATCAGATTGAATGGGACCACCATTGATGATCAAGTCAATGGATGACCAAATTTCGGAAAATTCCTTAATATAAAAGAAGAAAACGTATCATAACATAATAAAATGAATGAAGGTAGAATTAATTGTTCTAAGAGAGGTAGACAAGATATTACGTCAAGACTATAATATATGAACGAACCAATCAGGTATAAGATAATAGGTCCTGGATTTCGGCGCGAAATTTATCCATCCATTTGATTGAATAGAGTTTTGGCATTATAGCTAATGTCAGTTCGTGATGAAAACCCCTAATCTAATTCCTAACCTTAACCATCAACTGTAAATGGAAAATAAATCGCAACCAATAAAAGAAACAAGTCACTATCTAATTAAACAATATGATAATGAACAAAAGTTAGTAAATCGGCTGAAAAAAAAGAGATATAGTGTGATGAGTTAAATTATTTCATGACAAATTATCTTCATCAAGGCAAGAGTGATTTGTCACACTTTTCTTAAATCCACATGGATCATGTTAGAAATGGGTGATGGCTTTTATCTCCACAAGTGACACACTAATTACAAACTTACATACTTGATTTTGAATGAAAGTCTAAGTATGAAAGCTAGTGATACTACCTGATTAACCTAACCGACATAAGGGTTCAAACCTGAGACTTAGTAACTCACAGTCGTTTATTTTTATTATTTATTTGAACACATAGATATTGGTACAAGGAGGCACCACACAGATCTCATTTCATTTGTTTGAGGGCTGTCATACTACTCGGGTGCCCAAATCGAAGCAGATCGTTTTCTTAGGGGTGCCACACCCACAGCCTTTGACCTTAAGGTCTGACCCACAAGGCAGTGGAGCATCGTAAGGAGATGCAGTCCCATAGTAGTCAGTGATCAACAACTGGTTCATACACCATTTGGAACCCTTGTGCACCATTGGTTTGGAATCAGGGTTTTCCAACTCCCCTAAGTGGACTCTCCATGTCCACCAAGTCGGTTAAATAACCGGACATTCGCTTTTCATCCTCTCAATTCCGTAAACAACACCCCCACCACAAGAAGGCAGTGAGTAGAAGTTCCCTCGTATTGGTTGTATGCATGTAGCTATGTGAGAGCGTTTCGAGAGAGTGAGAGCTTACTCTCCTTACTCTCGGCCGTACCAGGGCATTTGTTCACTTTTAAATCCTATCTTAACTGCAAAGAAAAGTCACGTATCATTTACTAATTTTAGGTGTCGTTTGACCAAGCATTTATTTTTTTATCTCACACTGTCGTCCGCATCACTAGATTTTACTCATCTGAATAAATATGCATTAATCTGGACTGGTATAAATGAAAATAATATCATGACTTGCTTTTTATTAATCCTAACTTGATGTATCAAATCAAATTCTTGTTTGCAGACATATTGCTGCCCATTATGAATCTAAACTTTTTCCCGTTTAAGCTTATAAGAAGCTGTTAAAAATAGTCAATCAGTCGCAAGCAACGTAGAACCTGTCACGTATCTACATCGATCCAATATATTACACCAGATCAGCCTAGGTAGAAAAACATTTTCAAGACTAATTCTATATTAAAGTAGTGTATAACAGGATCAGTGGTAGTAGAAAATAGCATCGGATACAGACAATGACATATGAGGGACAACATAGTATACAATAATTCTAAAATGTAAGACAGAAAGTGAATCCATCAGCACAACCCAAATGATTCCCAGTCATGTTACTTATCGTCTCTCTAACAACTGTTAATGAAAAATGCTCCGAACTCAACTACGTAGTCTGTACCTGCTAACACGTTTAGAAAAAAAAAGAATGATGAGTTCAGTTTGTTTTTTTCTTTTTTGCAACATATTTTTTCCTCACTATCATTGATACTTGTTTCATTTGTGGAATGCTTAACTGATTTAGTAATTGGTACTGGGAAACTGTGAATCGGGCAACCCAAGTAAGAATACAAATCCCAGGATTTATTTGACTCGTAAAATATACCCTTATCTATCGACTTGGCATTTTTACTTGGGTCGTCTGATTCACGGTATTCCACTATCGAGCACCAAGTCAGTAAAGACGAGGTCAATCTATAAATTTCAATTCTTTTCAATCTAAATGTCTCGTTTCAATTATAACCCAGTTTTCAGTTCAAGTTACCCCTTAAATACAGTTTTCAGTTATCAAAAAACTTTTGTTTTTTTCTTCTGAAACTTATTGTTGTGATGGAGGATGCGGTTACAATTTTAAAAACATGCCAATTTCAGTTGCAGAAATAAAATCAGTACTTTAATTTAATAAAGATGTATTCAGTTACCATTCATCGATGCTCCAAACGAACATATGCTCAAACACACAAATCTAGAAGCACATTAAAAAATTACAGATGTATTTAATGATATAACTGCTAAACGAAGAACAATTTTATGATAAGGGAAGAGGTCAAAAGATTTCTTAAGAGTGTAACATTTGAGCAGTGTTCAAATGTTTGTTTGTCAGATTCCGCAAAAATAACAGTACTACGACTTCATTCAGACTTTTCTACTATTAAATTTATCTAGCTGTGCCGATGAGACATGAAGTTTGTGAAGAGAGTGGCAACTTGAGTTAATGAAAATTTGTCCCAAACCCTACACATTGGTTTTGACTATTATGATTGGATTCTTCCAATTTCTCAAAAATAAAAGTATAAACACTGTAATATTTCATACCTCGATTTGAATCGCCGACGGTTGTCCACTTAAATTTGCTGAGGTTAACACTAATGGATGACCACCACCAATAGTTATACTATCGTGCCTATCACAACCACTAGAATGTTCAACATTATTGCCAATAATTGATGAAAATTTCGTTTGTTCATTCAAAGCTGATATAAGTTTACGTATAAAACCAGAATCTGGTATTCGAATACCAACACGCTTGTCGCTTGAGTTTAGCAAATGATTGCTCAATGGATCCTGAAGTCTATCAGAAAAACGTGGTAATAAAACAGTGACAGGACCAGGGAGAAGATCTGATAGCAGACCAGTTGGAATATTTTTTGTATCACACCAGTGGGAGATATGCGATACCTAAAACATGCAAAGGTAGGAAGTAAAGGAAACTATACACTGTGAATCAACATGAATGAACTATTTTAACTATGCATAAATGTCCTGTCAACTTAGACTAGTGGCCACATTGCAACTTGATCAGTAAAATCTAATCAGCACTAAGGATTCAGTACATATAGTCAATACTATTCAATAACGAATCAAGGCGTAAATATGTATGCACATATATCAACGTTACATGAATAACGAAACATTGAAAACTAATTCTACTTAGTATTTTCAGTAAATATCATCATTTCATTTTATTTGTATGTGGGCTGTGATACTGCCCGGGTGCCCAACCCGAAGCAGGTGGTTTTCCTATGGAGCCACACCCCGAGCCCTTGACTTGAAGGTCTGATTCACAAGGCAGTGGAGCATCGTTAAGAGATGCAGTCCCATGGTAGCCAGTGATCAACAATTGGTTCATATGTCATTTGTTCCTTCAGGATACTGGAACCAGCCCATGTGCACCATTGATTTGGAATCAAGGTTTTACAACTCCCCTAAGTGGACTCTCCATGTCCACCAAGCCGGTTAAAGAACCGGACATTCGCTTTTCTTCCTTTCAGTTTCGTAAACAACACCCCCACCACAAGAAGGCAATGAGTAGAACTTTCCTGGCAGAGGCTGTATGCGCGTGGCCATGTGAGAGAATTTCGAGAGGGAGAGCGAACTCTCCTCCCTCTCGGCCGTACCAGGGCATTAGGGGGCGCATATATATCTGGTGCCCTCCTTGTACCAATATTTATGTGTTCAAATAAATAATTCTACTTAGTTGGTTTGCATTCATATTTAAACTGATTACAAAAAATAAGATCGACAATCTGCATTATATGTCCTTAGCTTTATTAGTTCAAAAAGCAGGAGAACTATAATGGGTGTTTACTTAAATGTATATGAAAAAGAAGAAAATATTTTAAATGTCATTTGTGAAAAATAACAGTTCAATGGATGAAATATTAGTTAGCACATGATCATCACACATGAACCCTTATATGATCAGTTGAGATAGAGTTTAGATTATTGAAAGAATATTTGATATGCTCTCTGAAAATCTGATCGATTAGGTCATGTAAGAAATGAGCTTAACAGTCATTTGTCTCAATCCATTTATATTAGTGTTAAAGAGACGATAATGTGGTGTATGCTACTTATACAGACAGATATAAATAGTATGCATCGGAATATTGAAGTAGGATTCTTACTGACAGAAGAGGAACACGAGAAGCGAAAGAAAAGCAGAAGCAGTCTGAGTAGCAACAGAAGTGAAAGAACGATGATGTATTTAAGAGACAATTCAAGGAAGACGTTCAAATGGTGTATCCAATGTACTGTGAGATGGTGGAGAAGATTTGTAGCTCAGGTGGATGATTTTGGTGGAGTTTTGTTCTCTGAGCTGGATGGTTTGGTCGTAGAGCTTTCATCGTTCTTCTGAAAGACATCATCAGCACAAAGAACCAATCAACATCGAGGTGCACAGAACAAGCTGTGAAATACATATGGAGAAATTCGAACACTTCACTTTTATCTGAAGTTTGTGCTGATGATGTCGTTCAGAAGAACGATGAAAGCTCCACGACCAAACCATCCAGCTCAGAGAACAAAACTCCACCAAAACCAATGTACTGTTTCTATACTTTACAAATGCAGCATGTGATTTTGCATAATGTAATGTATCGGTTCACCCTAACCAAGTCTTCGTTTATTACAATAAGAATAATGGAAACAGTGAATGCGGAAGTGGGCACATGTGACACATATTTCAATAAGCCATGTGATGAATTCAAGATTTTATAGTTGTTTCCAACATACAAATTCGCATACTTGGATTCAAGTCAGACTTTAAGGGTATGGGACAACTACATTTTATTCAGTTGCCTAAAGCAAAGTATTAGAACTTGAGAACTTGGGACACTCGTCGTTGCCTCTTCGTCGTCTCTGCCTATTCTCCCACTGACTGCAGCTCAGATGATGTAAAAGATGAGTTTTACAGAAAGCTTTCGGACCTTCTCCGAAAAGCTAGGCGCTCGGATGTAGTAATAGTGGCCGGTGACTTTAATGCTCAAGTAGGTAAACTAAGCGATAGGGAAAGACACCTAGGTGGATCTTATGGTGTCGTGGCTCAAAGAACAGATAATGGCGACCGTCTGTTGCAGCTATGCTCAGATAACCGCCTGTTCCTTGCAAATACTAACTTTAAGCATAAGGAAAAACATCTTTTAACATGGCGACCCCCTAATTCGTCCCAACGTTGGACCCAAATGGATCACATCGCTATCAGCCACCGATGGAGGGGCTCGATAGAAGACTGTCGCTCATTCTGGAGCACATGCCTAGATTCAGATCATGCTCTAGTGCGAGCGCGTATTTGCTTGCGTCTTACTGGACGTAGGAAAGACCCTGCAAGGAAACCTCTTAGGGCCCTACTTAATGATAGTCAAGCTAAGAGTATATTTCAGGAACAACTAGGAAAACAGTTAGGCAGCCATGTATGTGATGCCCACCCCGATGCAGCATGGAATGATATCCGAAAAGCTGTGGAAACAGCAGTGATATCTGCTAGTAAGGTAAACCAGAAGGTTAGGGAGCAACACTGGATCTCAGCAGCATCTATCTCACTGATAGATGCTCGGAAACTCATTCCACCTGGCTCTGAACATAATGAAGAGCGGAGTCAGCTTAAGCGCAAGCTGACAAGAAGTCTACGCAATGATCGCGAACAGTGGTGGGTAGCGAAAGCAAGAGAGATGGAAAAGGCAGCGGCAATAGGTAATAGCAGACAATTGTTCAGACTCGTTAAGGAAACCGGAATTAGGAACCCGACCGTTAGCGAAACAATCTCAGAGAAAGATGGACATATTATTCATTCTCAATCCAGGAGATTGGATCGATGGGCAGAACACTTTAGGGATCAGTTCAACTGGCCTTCAGCCACACTTCGGTTTCCCACGATCTCCAGTCAACCTGAATGGCAAGTTAATGTAGGTCCTCCGTCCCTTTACGAAGTTGAAAAAGCCATAGGAAATCTGAAACGAGGGAGAGCAGCAGGCCCTGACAGGTTTACTCCTGAGATTTTTAAGGATGGTGGTCCAGTATTAGCAATGAGATTAACTGAGGTCTTAGGTAGAATTTGGGAACTGGACGTAATCCCATCTGACTGGTCTCAATCACTGATTGTGCCAGTCTATAAGAAAGGACAAAAGTCCTCTTGTGACAATCACAGAGGAATCAGTTTGACTAATATAGTGTCTAAAATATTAGCTTCAATAATACTTCGACGCCTAATCAAAGCTCGTGAAGAGCAGACTAGAGAAAACCAGGCCGGTTTTCGACCTGGACGTGGTTGTATAGATCAGATATTCACACTACGTCAGGTTCTAGAACACAGACACACATTCAGACGCCCCACAATGGTAGTATTTCTCGACCTTAAGGCGGCATTCGACTCTGTTGATCGTGAGGTTCTATGGCAGTGTTTGTCACTGAAAGGAGTACCAAAGAAGTACATTAACCTTATAAAGGCTCTCTACTCGAACACAACTGGTAGAGTGAGAGCTTATGGCGAACTGTCATCAGAATTGATTACCTCAAGTGGTGTTCGTCAGGGCTGTCCACTCTCCCCATTCTTGTTCAACTTTGTGGTCGACGTACTTTTAGAGATAACACTCTCCTCATCTAAATTTCCAGGGGTTGAACTTCTACCGGGAGGTTCACTTGTTGACTTAGAATATGCTGATGACATAGTTTTATTTGGTGAAGACGCTGACAAAATGCAGAGTCTTCTGACCACTCTAAGCAACAATGCAAGCATGTTCGGGATGCGATTCTCTCCCTCGAAATGCAAAATGTTGCTTCAGGATTGGGTTACATCGACACCCGAACTAGTGATAGGGAGTGAAGTAGTTGAGTGTGTCGACCGCTTCACTTATCTTGGAAGTCTCATCAGCCCTTGTGGTTGGTGTGTGACGAAATCTCAGCACGGATACAGAAGGCTCGACTAGCTTTTGCCAACTTGCGTCATTTATGGCGTAGGCGAGATATCCGTCTATCAACCAAAGGACGTGTTTACTGCGCAGCAGTTCGTTCCGTCCTACTTTATGGCAGTGAAACATGGCCGGTAAGAGTAGAGGATATTCGTAGGTTACTAGTATTTGATCATAGGTGTCTTCGAAATATTGCTCGTATATCATGGGACCATCGAGTAAGTAACAGTTGTTAGGAAACGGGTACTAGGTAAGGATGGCAAATCAATTGATGAAGTAGTGAAACTTCATCAGTTGAGATGGCTGGGACACGTGTTACGTATGTCCAATGGTGTAGGAGTAGGTTGGAAGAAAGCTAGGGGCGGCCAGACCAAAACATGGCACAAATCCATGAAGTCACTGACAAGTGGACTGAGTCATGTTGGTACGTGTAGACTACCTGGTTGGGGACCATGAGATGATAGTAGCTGTTATGACTTTTTGTCCGGCTTTTTATCACGTCATCTATCCACCAATCAAAATACGACTTATACAATCTCCACACTGTGCCAAAACCCATGACGTTCGACTGGTATGAGCAGCCTAACGTCCTTATTGGTCCTATGTCCGCCTAACCCGTCCACTTGAGTCCAGAACACCAATACCAGCTTCCACTATGCTATGCGAATCAAATCGAATCATTTATTTCAGACATACTAGGTTTATATATCAAACAAACAGACCGCAACGCACCATTAAATAGGAAATAACATTTGTACACAATAAAGCCAAAAAGTGACTGTAAACATGGGAGGCAGCAGTCAATAAACTGAACATAACTTAAGAACAGTAAATCGTACAATAATAAATTTTAAGTCAAAATAAAGCTTATAATAAGAGGAGTATAAATATACATAATCTAATTATTGAATATTTATACCATAAGAATATATAAATAATATTAGTCCATTAATAGGTCTCAGAAGTTACTCGTGATATCTTCGCGCGGATATGACAGTAACCAATGATTAGAGACCCTGGATGACATGGCTCAAAATGGTTTGCAATCGCACAGGTGCATCCACTCTTTATGTTCCCCCGGATTCTGATCTTTTGAATTCTTCGTTTCCCGTTTTTTCTCTTTCCAAATTTATTTCACTGGATTATACTCCTTAAATAACATCTTCAAACCCTAATGTTTCCGATTACTGCCTATACTCTTACTACCTCTACCACTACGTGATTTGAATCGACAACTGGATCTCTGTGCTAATCTGTTATGGCAACTCGAACTGATGTACGTACGTACGTACGAAGTTCTACGTTGTTACTGACTGACTGACTGATTAGAACTTGATACTTGATTGTTGAAAACGAAATTTCATAGCGACTGAACCGTCTGTCCATGATATCACTAGTAGTTCACAGTAAAACGTTTTTGGATATCTGTTGTTCAATATAAAATTGAGTAAACTGGTATTTTATTAACTTTGTAAAAGATTATACTAACTAGATTTGAATTACGAAAATATGATGTTCGTGAAACGGTCAACGATGGAACCGTACAGAAAGGTGACTCAATAGTTTACGAGTCATTAACTTGAGGAGATTAGTGATAGTCAACCAGTCAGCTACAACGCAGGACCAAGCACATATGTGTATCGGTTCAAGTTGCCATACCTCATTAGCACAACAAGATAAACACCGGATAGATACATTACGATACCGAAAATGGTACTCAGTTTTTGAAAAAACGTGTAATTTGGGACACAAGTGAAATGCCTGCTATTTAATACACTATAAGACATAATCTGTGTACGAAGTCATAAGTAGACGGAGAGTATACGGTTACAAATATCTTTGAAATATCACTTACATATAGCGAAATTTAAGAGCGACTAGTGTTACTGTTATTCAACTGCTGTTAAGTGTTGAGTAAATCGATTGCTGTGCTTAATTGCATAGAATAAAATTAAAAGAACGTTGTGGGAAGCCAAATAACACATCATTAAGTAAATGAAATCATTGAACATTGGTCTAAGCCGCTACTGATAACACATAAACATACACAAAGAACAGAATATATTCAACCTACCTGATCTAAACATATAGCCATAGGTTTAGTCTCTGAACGACCTTTAATACGACGTATTCGTTCAATTGCTTCAGGATTAAAAACGGAACAAGCTAATCCATAGATAGTGTCTGTTGGAAGTGCTATTACACCATCATTTTGACTGATTAACTGAACGATTGCATTAAGATTTGAACTTGCTGATAAAATTACAAAAAATAAAGCGAAGCATTATAGTCCAGTAGCGTATTACATGAAACACTAATTGAATATATTTCAACTTTTATTTAAATATAATTAGGACGATACGTTTAGACTATGATGTCATGTGGATAAGAGTTGAAAAACAGTGTAACAAATATAAGTTAATGTATTTGGAACTCTCTACGATCAGTGATAATATTTGGCTGTCGGAGGGAAGTTCAAAACTGAATCCTATAATGAACTAAAAGCTCCAAGGGTCGTACAATATAACAAATTGACGGAAGTCTAGTGATATGTTAACGACTGAGTCTCCAACACTATGGTTGAAAAGTAGTAGACTGACAACAACACCCAAATGTCTTGAGTAGGATTGTGAATGACTAACAATTCAGAGTACCATGTGACATCTTTCTGTAACTTTTACAGATCTACTTGAACTTACTGAAGTTGTCACGGTCGAGAAGTTTAAACCAGATACGTTATTTCCAAAAGTATACTAATCTTGTCAATCTTTCTGCATTACATTGGAGACTTTAGTTTTCAATATTTAGTGGCGAGAATCCATTCCGCTCTCTACCTACAATCCCCCAAATGACCTGATACGGCCGAGAGTAAGCTCTTACTCTCTCGAAACGCTCTCACATGGCTACATGCATACAACCACTACGACGGAACTTCTACTCACTGCCTTCTCGTGGCGGGGTTGTTTACGAAACTGAAAGGGAGAAAAGCGAATATCCGGTTCTTTAACCGGCTTGGTGGACATGGAGAGTCCACCTAGAGAAGTTGTAAAACCCTGATTCCAAGCCAATGGTGCACATGGGCTGGCTCCAGTATTCTGAAGGAACAAATGGTGTATGAACCAATCGTTGGTCAGCAGCTAACATGGGACTGCATCTCCTTATGATGCTCCATTTCCATGTGGATTAGACCTTCAGGTCGAAGGCTCGGGGTGTGGCTCCATAGGAAAACCACCTGCTTCGGGTCGGGCACCCGGGCAGTATTACAGCCCTCACACAAATCAAGTGAGATCTGTGTGGCGTGTATTTATTTGGTGCCTCCTTGTACCAATATCTATGTGTTAAAATAATAAAACAAAATATCTCAACGAGCGATATTTGATGGCGTAGAAACAGGTTGAAAGAAAGCTGGGATGACCAACCCGAAGACATGGTATCAGTTGATAAGGTCATTGACAAGTGAATTGCTCCATGTTGGTGGGTGTAGACCGTCTGGTCGCGATCCGCGTGAGCATTATAACCAACGATTGAAGACGATGGATGACATGGCTCAGAGTTGATCACAATGGAGCATTCGCATCTACTCTTTGTTCTCTCTTAGGTCCTGAATTTCAAAATCACCTTAAGCTTTTTACTTCATGAATGCAATTTCCTTCCCGACTCATATTACCTGTACCTAATATCGTTTTGTATTACCACTGATACTCTTACAATACTTCTACTACTCTAGCATTCTGCTGTAATATATGGTATAGCAAAGTGAATAGATATATACATGTCCCAGGTTCGATGTAGCGTATGATTAACTAAGCTCACTTCAATCGCCAAAATTAAGTTACACATAGTATTATTTTCTCCACCTCGACAATTTTTTCCTCTACTTTTTCATGTACAACATACGCTGTAAATAACAACTCACATAAACAGTCCATATATCAAAACACTAAAACACATTCTACGCCTAAGTAGGTGGAGCTAAGCTCAAGAAATGAAGTACCCGATTGTAGCAGCTACCTTATTGTAGTGATTAGGTTTACTTATCGTGATTTCCCAATTAAACTGTATTGGCTAGAACACTTATTCACTTAAACCCCACCATATGTCAGTCGGTTGAGGAGTGGTAACTTAAGGTTCGAGAGTGAAGTGTCCTGGTGACTGTTCCGGGTTGTAGTGTCAGTAAGATGTTATTCTCTCAGACAAATATCATTTCCGTATATGGTACCCGCTCACAGGGGGTCAGAAAGTGTTAACTCGAAGAAATATCATGTCTAACCGATGCTCTTAATAAGATGTTGAACAAACGAAGTTAACGCATGAATTACTCACAGCCCCTGAGTACTTATCGCTTGAGCTTTGTGGCCAAGCGCCTACAATGACAAGACCACTATCAGTATAGTCACCTTATTAGGTAACTAAATAAGTATCCCCTCAGTGTAGCCAGACAGAAAGTAGTAATCACCGATGCACTGCATTTCTAATGCCACCCGAGACCAGCACGAGTTTGATTTCTTGACCAATACAACTACTACGACAACTATAAAGCCATAGACAGCTCCCGTTCAATTATGAAGCAACATTCACAAAGCATTAAAAAGGACATATCACCACAACTTACCATCTTTCACACTAATTATTTTATTATTCATGACAGTAGGATAAATGTTTGTAAATAAGTGACACAATTTAGAGGGCATTAATTTCAGCGCAAAACATAGGTTTACGTCACACAATTATTTCTCAAAAGCTAAAGTGGTGAAAAATATTGTCATTAGTAGATAAAACAAATACAAATCCATCATAAGACAGCATATTGAGAAATTAATGTGACTGGCAAGAAATAAGCCTGGTGTTTCAGTTTGAAATTCCTTGACAAATAAGTGAAACTTATATTCTATCATTGACTTAATAGATAGCATTTCATTTATCAGTAATGTTATACTACCGGAAAAAACATTCCTGTCAAACAGAAGATGAAGTAGCAAGACAGGGACACAGTACCTAACTTATATAGTATTAGAGAACAATAGAACTACTTTGAAAAGTGATATAACGATAAAACACAAATAATAATTTATCGCAAATTAAATTTTGTTATGACGTCTAAAATAAAAGTATTAGAGTATCAAGAAGCAAAGCAACATGAATATAAACAATGATACAATCAGAAGTACAGAAATACTTAAAAATGGGAAACAATAAACCCAAAAGATAGTAACCTGTGATAAATAGGATACAGATCACATAACAACCAAGGCTTGAAGATATTCACTAAACAGACAGCAACTTAAATAACTTCAATGGACGCACACAAAGCAAGCGATGAGCATAACGAGCTACCGCATATACCAGCAGTGGGTCAGTGATACCTCAAAGAAACCCAGGTATATTTAACGAAACAAAAAGTAATATCAGTAAATTATAGTAGAATACTGTTCTGAGTCCTCAAGAATATAGGTTTCCTGTTGAAGAATTTCTGGAAAGTTGCTTGGTCCACCTCAGCCGGCAGCGAATTCCAGAATTCGACTACTTGTATGCAGTAAAAAGTGTGCCTACAGTCGATTCTGTTATATAGTGTCTCTAATTTCTGGGTGTTACCCGTAGGATTTGTGTTAGACTGAGCTAAAGTATTTAAGGGGGTGAACAGAAGTGTTTAGGATGCAATAAGTCATTAGGTCACCTCTGAAACGCCTGAAATCTAATGGGTAGTGATCTGGCAAGACTATAATTTATGGACGAAACAATAAGGTATAAAATAATAGGCCTCGGATACTGGTGCGAAATCCAATTATCCAATTTGGTTAAACAGAGTTTTGACATTATAGCTGATGTAAGTTCGTGATGAAAACCTGAAATTTAATTTTAACGTTAATCGTCAATTGTAAAACATAATTATAATTCCTCACACAACGTTAGAACCCTTATTTGGTCATAGATATTAGGTGAACACCCTTAAGGTCAGTCTACCTTAGCTCCAAGATTGTTCATAAATTATAGTCTCACCTAGTGGTCCAGTGATTTAGGGCATTTTTTATAAGATTGAGCTGACTTTATGGCTCGCTTTCAGATACATTCCAATACATTCTTATTCTTTTGGTGTGCTGGAGGAAACGCTATATTTTCATACTCCAAATGAGGGCGGATAAAGTTGTTAAACACTAAATGAAAAGTTTTACTGTAAAAACGACCAAAAGTGCACTTCAACGTTACTAGTGCAGGGTTTTCTGAAATGGAATATTTGCCACATTTAGCGTAAGACTTTTGATTATAGAGTATCAAGACTCTTAGACCTAAGCAACCAATAAATGGGAAATAAAGCGGACGAAAATGTAAATAAAGGGAAATGTCGATTTTCACTTTAACGTCGGTTATTTAGGCGAAATATCGTTTGTTCTGCCTTACAACGTGTATCTAAGGGAATTTGTAGACAAACATACGTAACGTACCGCGTTTGAATATGCTGCTCCCTGTATTTATGCTAAAATGGACAGTTCAGCGTCGTTCGAAGCACAGAGCGGTATAAAAGGGAAGAATACGCACTATTTCCTCCGGACAGGCAAAAAACAGACATTTTGGCGTGTTTCCCCTTTGTTCGCCTTTATTTCCCTTTTATTGGTTGATTGCGGACCTTTCTCGACTTGACATAACTGTAACCATAAAGTTGATTCATGTCGGGTTTAAATCTAAGCCTGCCGTAGGAGAGGGAATAAGAGTTTTGCCTGGAAGATTATTCAATAAATACAAGCCGCACGAATTTACCACGATAACATATAAATTGCCAGTAAGTACGAACACGTGCGCTCACCGAAACGCGTACTCTGAAATTGCGCGCTAACATCTGTTTCAGTTTTGAATGGAGAGGAGAACAGATGGCACTTGTTAGTTCATGCAATGTCGGGGTGATCTTATCCGCAACGCAACCATGTAAACTTGATGTATCGCACACTGTCATTTGTGTGTTCAAGTAACTACAGATTTTGTCATTTCATAATGTATTTTTAATTAAATAACTAGATTATGTAGCTAATTTTGCTCTTTTTTTAATTTTTATTCGCCACGTCCGACTGCGTTACACTGCACGTCCATTGCACGCTGGAATGATATCTCAAGTCATAGTGAGTTTATTCACATAGTTGATTGTTTCCAGATAGACTGTCAGAGCATGATTTTACTGAAGAAAGGTTTGTTGTACTGTAAACTATGTTTTTATGGACAACTGCATGTTGTATTCAGTATTAAAGCAATATATATTTCCTTTGTCTTCTGTTAGGTAAGTTCAACTGGCCTATATTTCATGTTTTGGTTTTATCGTCTTAATTATGTCCATTTAACTAGTTTAAGCAACATGTCTGTGCAAATGAAACAATAACTATGACACTTGCTTAGTTTAGTATTCTTGGTTGTCGCATAGTTAAGTTTAGTTGAAAGAATTATGGCATTCTTAAGTAAAGTGCTTGAAGCCTGTAACGATACAGATCAGTTTAGTAAGTAGAGTTGCCTGTATCTAATGAATATACTGATTCAGATCAGTCTGATTAAAAATAGGAAAAAATGTGCCTTTGATGCTGTTGCTGTCATACATTATATGATAGCGATAAGTATGTTTGTTGTTTGTTTCTAGACTGTACATCTATCACTGACCATATTTCATAATCACTGTCATTAAACAATTTCCCCATCAATAACATTGGTAGCAAGATAGCTAAGCGTCTGAACTTTTAGTTGCCCGCAAAACAGCAGTATACAGTCTTAGATGAGTGTTCTGTGTCTCAATTAAATGCAGCTGGCTGTGGACAAATGTTAAGAATCTTTTTGACAACTGGGACTTTTATTTTATCAGACACTTACACTGCTTGTATGTTTTCCTGTCAAACTAGACGCAGATGCATGGGAATACTTAAATGGGAGCAAAATAATAAAAGTACTGCGATACGGTGAAATATGATCTATAAAACAGTTAGCTTAATATCAGTTAATTACCTTTTTACTCCCTGATCATGACCCTTCGGCTTCCTTTTATGGCCAAAACACAAACATACACTACACACTGATAGCAGATTTCCGGCTTTTCAATGTTAGGCTTGCTTCAACGCACTACGTAACGAGTACAACCCCTCTATTACTGCTATATGACATATTGTTAATAACAAACCCTCTTCAATAGATTGGTAGTATCTGTGACTTCGTCTATGGTTGTCGGAAGTCTGGGTCCTTTCGAAAACAGTGCTGATATCAACTACTGCTGGGCACTTAGTATTAGTCTGACTCGTTGGCGGGATAGTGTTGTTCATAATACTGAAGAAAATTAAAAACCGGAGATTGTTTCCTTTCATTTTGCCGATAACATCATAAAGGACTGTTAGGAACGAACATGCGGACAGTTAGAGTCACAGGCAGCAGCAACAATTATTTTAGCTAGAGAAACGAACTCCGGCTCTGAATATCTAGAAAACAAGTCAAAACAAAACCGATTACCATTTTAAAACATAGGACTAGCGAGCTTGCCTGGAGAAATACATTGACTTCAGTAGCAGCAGCAAAAACCCAGAAAACAAAGCTAAATCAGAAACATTTTGCTCCAACATTTAGAGTATTACATTAACTTCTGCATTTTAGCACACTGAAACATTAAATTACATAGCCACATAAAAGAAATAGCTGGGAGAAGCACAGAACGAAGAAAGCCAACCGCCATTGCTTACAAAGATGGCGGATATAATAATTCCAGCCTCATTCTGATTGGTTGCCAAGCTGAAGGGCACATCTACGAAATTGAGTTGCGTTTAATTGCAGCCCAATGTCGATCTCTAGGTTGATCCAACTTTCGTTTAAAAACGTCGACAGATGGAACTTCAAACACGTATTCAAGTAATTAATTCCATTCGTCGATGATATGATAGAAAAATTGATAGTCAGCTGATAAGTAATTTGTACTAGACTTTCGAATTTTTCCAGTGTCCTCGTAAGTCCTCTGCTTTGGAAGACAAGAAAAGTGAGGAAATATTTATCACCAAGTTTTCGTTTAGTCAGTCAAGTATCACATGACAGGTTTGCTATTACGGGAATCAGCTTAGTTGCGGTTATCTGAACCTTTTCTAGCAGCTCTCTGTCATTTCTTAGGCAAGAGCTAGCCGCTTGTATGTAGTACTCGGGTTTGGGACGAACGAACATTGAATATAAGTCGAGGAGATTCTAGCATCTACATGGCTCAAAGTCATACATATTGACCACAAGTTTCTAAAGCTCTGGAGACTATTGAATGGCAATGTGTAGTAGTTTTTAAGTCTTGGCTAATGATGACTCATAATTCGTTGTGTGTCTGGATAACAAATAGCTCACTGTTATTCACCGTGTATGTGTCTGTACCTTGGTGACCGATGTGCATCATAATTCACTTGTAGGCAATCATCGGCAACTACCAAATTTCAAACCATTCAGATAGTTTTTCCAGGTCATTTGAAGGTGTCCATATCTTGACATCGTCAGCTTATGACAAAACCGATGGTGACAGGAGACTAGGATTGTGATGTAGGTCGTAAAGTTATATTCAAGCTTTAACGGATTCGGTGAAAAGTAATAGCTCTGTTGATGCTTTCTTTGTTGGATCATTTATATAATTTGCAGAGTAGTAATCGTAGTACTAAACCATAGACATCCTGTATAATGAGAAATAGCGATGCATGCCTTGACCTTCAAA